AAACTGTGACAGTTGATTTTCCACGCTTGTCCTGTGTGTGCTCATTTAGTGCGTGCTTTCTGCTTGAGGTGCGCACTGCAAGTTCCGAGCTGCTTGCTCTTCCTCACGTGACTTTGCAATTTGTTTCTTTAGCATTCATTCCTTCGCCCTTGTGGCAAAACAATCCACAATAAACACTTAACTACCTCTCTGAATACACGTTTCACATTCATGTTATACTGATTCCTAAACAGAGGAATCAGCCACGTTTTATAAAATTATTTAAAATATACTTATTTTTGAATGCTGCAACTCTCAAATAGGGTTTTAGCAGAGGGGATACACATTTGTAATGTTTATAAAGTGGTAAACACAATAAAGATAAAAGAAATAAAGTAGGTACAGTCCTTCAAAATATAATAAGATAAAAAAGACGATGATTTGCAATGAACAGGCATAAGGGCATATAATAAAATCAAATCAGAGCTGCATTTGAGGTGACCACTAGCGTAAACTAAACATTACAATGATTAGAATAAAAAACACCAGTACATGTAACTTTTAGAGCCCTTCACAACGCCGTTCCTAGTATTCTTATCTTGGTCCTGGATTGTTAAACTACAATTAATCCTAACTGACATGCAACGCAACTAAAAATGTGGATATTCAGCTGTACATAGTGGAAGTGACGCCATTCTGAACATGAACTTCGCGCACGCGACCAGACATATTCGATGCCTTGTAACATAATGAAACTTATCCGATTTGCGACAACACGTATCGCATACGCACCACTTCATTTTTTTTACGCAGGCCGGAAACAGAAGAATTCGAGGCTGTGAGGGTGGAGATGATTGACTGATTTGTGGGGTTTAACGTCCCAAAACCACGCTATGATTATGAGAGACGCTGTAGTGGAGGGCTCCGGAAATTTGGACCTCCTGTGGTTCTTTAACGTGCACCCAAATCTGAGCACACGGGCCTACAACATTTCTGCCTCCATCGGAAATGCAGCCCCCGCAGCCGGGATTCAATCCCGCGACCTGTGGGTCAGCAGCCGAGTACCTTAGCCCCTAGACCACCACGGCGGGGCATGCGAGGGTGGAGAAAATGTAACAAAGAGGTTAAACAGAGCAAACATCTCATTTGCTACCTGACACTCAGAGGGGGAAGGGGATAAACCGCGGGTAGATAGCAACAGCGCATGCAGCCAACACGTCAGAAAACAGGGGCACTCATTTGTAATCTCATGCTTATTATACATATGGGGAGTGGCCGCTAGCATACAGGCGTGACTCAGATTCCGATAAGCAGGCCTAAGTACGCCCACAATCACAAACGAAGTCTTCCCAACATAGAGTTTCATACAAAAATACCGAAAGAGTAATCTCGCGTGGTGATTGTTTACCCCAATGGTAGTTATGGAAAATACAGGCTTCGTATTGGCTTGCGATAGCTAACAAACTGCCTACGGATCTTTTCTACAGTTTCAGCTTCGTTCTTCGCGCAGCATGGGTAGTGGGGCGCGGCGCAAAGGAATGAAGCAGCGCCTTTGTTACTCAAAGTTGCTGAAGACCACTAGGCCTCTTGATTTTCTGCGACTTTGGAGCTTTACGGGTTGTATGTGAAAGTTTAACGAAAGCGAGTGTTGAAGATTGGGCGAGTTGGTTCGTCGTACTTGAACTGGTATAGTGCATTACGGGGAAGAAGAAACGACCGAGCAGACCAACACAAGAGGACAGACCACTCTGTCCTCTTGTGTTGGTCTGCTCGGTCGTTTCTTCTTCCCCGTAATGCGCTATACCAGTTCAAGTTTAACCAAAGCATCGTCCACTCACCGCTACCCATAGATGCAGCGTATGATGCAAGTGCAGAATACTGCATCGAGTTCACGTCTTCTCGTAAGTGCGTCTTGCCAAAACTCTGTCGAATCAGCTGCAAAGCGAAGACAAAGCTAAGCATATGCACCATTACACTCCTTTGACTCGACTTCACAACAAAATGAGTGGCGCGTTAGGGACATACCACTGAGATAAAGCACCTGGCATCACAGCAGATCATATGGTAAGTGTTTTTCCCTTAGTGCTGTGATATTTCAATAAATAGAAAATGTAGACTTTCGAGGGAAAGACAAGAGTGTTTGTTTTGAAGTGTTGTAAAAAAATATTTCAATATGTCTTGATACCGAATTGGTTACGCAATGGCAGAGCAATGCGTGCTCTGGTGGCTAAATTTGTCAAAGTCTCACTTCTACTATCTCATGGTGACGGAAACTCTCTTCTATGAGATTTACGTACAAAATAATGAAGCAGGTTTGGACTGAAAATAACTTCATATCACTTTGTTTTACACTCGTCAAACAAGCGTCGTGAATCTCAAGAGTGTGATCCACCCAAAGCAGAGCCGAAGCCTGTACTTCCCATAATTCTCATAGGGGTACAAGCACCTGAGTAGACACTAGAGCCCGATTCCCGTTTAGATATTATTGTATTAAACTCTATGCTTCCTGAATTAGCTTGTGTTATCTGTCTCCACGAGGCTGCATGCATTTACTTCTGTTTCGATAACGTAATGCTCATGCTTTCCTGATCACATAATTTCGTGCTTGGCAGTACGCACGCACCCCTTCATTCGGAACAGAAGCTTCGCTTTTTGACAAGTTTTATAAACCAGCGTACGAAGTGTCTTTTCGAATCTGCGTCATCTCACGCTTACCGCGCGCCTGCACGCCTTTGTCCATTAAGGCCCCACTATTCTCCTACACCCTTTGCCTCCCGTGCACTGCCTTGCAGTGACGTGTCCCCGGTTAGAGAATTCGGCTGTCGTAAGCTAAGGATGAAGTACAAAAAGAATGAAAAAAAAATGCCCACGAAAATAAATTCTGGTGCTTGTTCAGTCGTATTGTATAAACGCTTACTCTAGGGCTCTGTGTGAGCTGTGCAGACACCCGTGATCATGCGCGAGATAAGCGCTAAAGGCGCCTTCGCAGAGGCACACTACGTTTGAACACGCACAAGCGACCGTAATTTTGGTACTGGGAAACAGCCAATCCGCTCAACAATGACAATCTGAGCTCGGTGCACCCGGCATGCTAATTTCGCCCCCATCGTGAACTGCGCAACGCTTGACGAGAGATTTCAGTCGGAGAAAAAGCACTGAGAATTGAACATTCGCATACTGCCTCAGAGCACGGCTTTCTGACTAAAATGAGCTTCACTCATCCACAGTAATAAAAAGGAAATTCCATGAGCAGCTGCATAATCCTCACAAAATGTTCAGGCCACATAAATACCTCCCAGTGAAAGGTTGGTTGAGCATTATACGCTTATGGAGCTTGAGTTAATTGCAATCAAGGTCTTCAAAATGTCATTATGTCAGTAATCTGCCATTACATCCTCATAATGAGTGAGTGAATAACTTTAATCAGTTCTTGGTGGTTTACAAGTTGTAATACCGCCTAGCAGCAGCCGAGAAACTGTGTCTCACTACATATTTCTACCTGCTGCATCGCTCAGAGTTGGGGGTTTAGGCCACGCTGCTCAGCTGGTGAGCCACGCAACGCGATCTGCAAAGATGCCCGAAAATCCTCATAGGAGGCCACGTACCTAATTTTGCCTATCTTAGCTCCCCCCTCTCATTGTCCACTGTATAAGTGAATCTTTATTTTAAGGAGTACAAGTATACTTTGAAAGAGTTGTTGATTCTCATGTACCGCCAGCATGATCGCGCTGGTAATATAGTAACCGACATTTCTTTGATAGAACCCTTCATATTCACGAATACTACGTATACACTCTGTTCTCAAAGGAGCACCAGTATGTTTAAGAACCAGCTTACTAACGCTTGAACGTTTATGGGGTAAGCTTTCAAGGGACACAGGTTGCTACACTTGAACAATTAACAATTTCAATACATAAATTGGTAATTGAGAACTAGCAAGAATGTCTCGCCTACAGGATTAAAAATGGTTCTAACGCCATGGTCTTCACTATGACGTGCAAGTAGTTCAGAGAACAAACGCCTTCGATCAAGATTGTTCATGAGAAAAACTCCCTCTTCGTTAGTAAACTAATTGCTACTATATCTGTAGCCCATCACTCACCACACTGTCCTCGATCCCGTGACCTGCGGGTCAGCAGCCGAGTACCTTAGCCACTAGACCACCGTGGCGGGGTGGCTGTTTCTGGGTACTCATCTCAAAGGGTAGCCTCATAAGGTTCCGCGAAGGCACCTAGGCGTACCTTAATCTACCACAGCCTTTCTGAAACAGCTGAGCATCCGCCGGTGATGTGGGAGGCAGAGAATTGCTGACGCCAGGCACCTACTGGCTAAATAGATACAAGCGCACTTCTGACCTGGTGCTCGGCAGTAAGAAGTTCATAGTCGCTTGGGAGGGCACCCACCCTGTGGGAAATTGACGGCATCGGACCGCCAACTCTAAAATAGGGTCATCCTTTTTTTTATTTAAAGGCTTTTCTTTCTGAAAAATGCGTATGCACTTTCTTGTCACTTCGTGCTACAAACGGGCGGTTGTCTTTTTCCCCTTTCTGAACACTTCACCACCTTGCTGGTTTCCGCAGACTACACTTAGACTGCTTAGCAGTGTTTGATAACACTATATTATTATAGAGAGCACAGTAATTTTTACCACCGGGGAATCGTAAGTCTGCGTACGTTCGTGTGTGCGTGTTTGTAGGAAAGGCGGGGTTAATCGGGTGGGGGCAAAATAAGAAATGCTATGCCCCACCCACTGCAGCAAGTAATTTCCGTATATTTACCGTAAAGGTAAACCAGCGCTGATGAATGAACCCTAATAACAGATCCTCGCGACTTGACAGCATACGGTGGCACGGCACATTAAAGTGTTTTGATACCTGCTTCAACGGCACGGTTGTGGCTTCCTGTACGTCCCTTTGCACGAAAGAATGAAAAAAAAATCGCAACATGCTATGCTCGAGCCATACGATGCGTTCTGCTTTTGATTTTCTCGACATGCGCACAGTCTCTGCATATATACATACCTTGCTACGATGGATGCGTAGACAGCACGTTGAGAACCAAGTGTGATACGGAAAGTCCACGTCGACCTTCCAAAGGGAACTGTAGTCTTATCGCACTATCAGCGTTGTCACGACAGCCACCAGTGTGCAGACGTTGTTATTTCATTGCTGCCGTATCACAGCGACGGCGACAATGCGTACTCGCTCTGAAGCGCAGCCAGCTCACCTGTCGTTTATTTTTTCCGGTGAACGGGAAACATATGGCTAACGACGACCGCTCGCCGGTTGAAGCACACGCAGGCTAATAATTGGCGTGACGTATCCAATTGACAAAATTAGTAATCTTGCCGAACGATTCAACGAATACATGTTTTCCAACAGGGCGGGATTATATTTCCAGTTAGTCAACCTATTCGCCAGATTTTACGCGCAAACGCAGCTCTGGCGTTATCAGAGATGGCGTAATGTACCTCGTGCTCTGCAATAACTGTGTCCACCCGCAGGCTTCTTTAATGCATACCGAATTTTTTTTTTTGCATTCCTCTCCCGTCGCAACGCGGCCTCCGCGGCCGGTAATAGACCTCGCACAGCTGCAGAACGTCATCGCCACTGAACCACTGCGGCGTGTATTTCCTGCTACTCAGCCAGTGCCTTGTTATTTTAGAGGGGTGCATTCAAGCAGCACGAAAGGTTGTCTTATCTGACTTGGTACAGCAGTCCGCGCTCGTACTGTCTGTTGTTGCTCTCTCGCTTTGTTCCTTGTTTGTCACTCTCTGCTGATATCAGCATTAATAATAATAATAATAATAATAATAATAATAATAATAATAATAATAATAATAATAATAATAATAATAATAATAATATTATTAATAATAATAATGTATCATTATTATTACAATAGTATTATTATTATTATTATTATTATTATTATTATTATTATTATTATTATTATTATTATTATTATTATTATTATTATTATTATTATTATTATTATTATTGTATACGAGAGGTTATTGGTCAGCTGCCAGCTCGTAACAAGTTCACGTGCTACGTGACGCCGCACAGGCTCATAAAGAGTGCGCCAGACTCACCACCATGGCTACTGAGGGCGCTTACTGACACTCCCACGTTTCAATTCACATATATACCTAATGAAGTGGCTGGGAGGATGGCCGCTGTGGTAGCTCAGTGGTAGAGCATCAAACGCGTTATTCGAAGGTCGTAGGTTCGGTTCCTGCCCATGGCAAATTACTTTTTCACCCACTTTTCTTTCTTCACATTTAGCTTACAATTCGGTCTTATAACCTCCCCTATACTTTCCTTGGCATTATTGTCTAATAAATTATATATATATATATATATATATATATATATATATATATATATATATATATATATATATTTATATATATATATATATATATATATATATATATATATATATATATATATATATATATATATATATATTGTCACTGTTCAAAAGACGAGTGCGTCGGAGAACGACGAAGAAAGGGAATTGAACAGCTTGACCGATGAACGGGTGTTGTGTCTGTTTCGCCGCCTATATATATTCGAAGTTCGCAGGTTTGGTTTCTGCCCAAGGCAAGTTATCTTTTCACCCACTTTTCTGTCTTCACAATTACATTACAATTCAGTTTAATATCTGCCCTTATACTTTCCTTGGCATTAATGTCTGTTAGATCTCATTATATTGTGTAAAACATTGAAAAATGAGCCCTTAAGTATGCACTTCTTTCCTTTATATATATATATATATATATATATATATATATATATATATATATATATATATATATATATATATATATATATATTCTTACAAGGAAACGTTTATTTGTGGATAACGCGACGACAATGGCTGCTGGCGGGCTGGGACCAGTCTCTATCCATTTCGTAGTCTTTTCTTCCACGAAGAGACCCTCAACCGCTTTATGCCCCAATCCCACTACTTCCTTGTGGCACTACCCCGCGGCGTTAAAGCGCCGACCCGGCGCTTGTCATGAAAGCGCAGTGTTGGGCGACACATAAGGTATCAGTCTTACGACGTGCAAAACAGTAGATGGTGGTGGCGATGAGTGCGCTTCATCGACGACTCACTTTATGTCGTAGGTGAGGTTAGTGACCTTGCATAGGACTTTGTATGGTCCGTCATAGCGAAATAAGAGCTTTTCTAAGAGGCAGATGTACGACATGGGGTCCACAAGAGTACTAAATAACCGGTTGCATACGAAACTTCACGGTGGTGACCATCGTGCCGATCTTTCTGAGAGGCTTGACAAAGTATGAGTCGTTCTCGGGCGATCTGTCATGCTGCTTCGGCTTGTTCTATGGCATCACCGACGTATGTGACAGGGGAGCTTGAACCAGCGGGAAGGCAGAGAGGGTTCACGTCCATAAAAGGGTAGAACGGAGAATAGCCTGCGGCGTCATGTCTGGAGGAGTTGTAAGCGAAGGTGACGTAGGGTAACGTTGCGTCCCAGTCGCAGTGGTCTGGAGAAACATACATCGACAACATGTGGGTGATAGTGCGATTCAGACGCTCTGTATATCCATTAGTTTGTGGATGGTATACCGTTATGAACTTGTGGTTTGTGGAACAGGAACGTACGATATCCTGGATGACGTGAGATGAAAAGTATCGGCCTTGGTCAGTAACGAGCTGTCGAGGAGCACCGTGATGCAAAATGATCTCGTGCAGTAGAAAGAACGTGACATCGGTAGCGCAGCTGGTTCGGAGAGTGGGGGTGATCGCGTAACGTTTCGCGTAGTCAGTCGCCACGGCAACCCATTTGTTGCCGGATGCAGAAGTGGCAAATGGCCCGAGAAGGTCGAGCCCTCCGTGGTAGAATGGTTCAGCAGGGATCTCAATAGGGTGAAGGAGGCCAGCTGGAAGCGATGTTGGTTCCTGATGGAGGTGACTAGATTTATGCAAGACCGAATAAATGTATTCTTGGAGGCGGAGAGACCAACGACCAAGACGTCCCTTGAGATCCTTGAGCGACGAAAGCCAGTAGAGCGCATGATGATCAGTTACAGCAGTAAAAGTGCGGCCGAACAGGTACGGGCGAAGTTTAGCGACCGCCCAAACAAGAGCAAGACACTCTCTTTCGGTGATGGAATAGTTATTCTCGGCAGGGGACAAAAGGTGGCTGGCGTAGGCGATGACGCAGTCACGTCCATGATGACAGCAATTCCGTGGCCACTCGCGTCAGTACGAACTTCTGTCGTTACAGTCTGATTAAAGTGGACTAATACTGGCGTAGTCGTACGGGCTGCAACGAGCGCCGTGAATGCCGCACTTTGAGGCCAATTTCAAGTAAATGGGACATCTTTTTTAAGAAGCTCGGTGAGAGGCCGCGCAATATCGGCAAAATTCCGGATAAAGCGACGGAAATAGAAGCACAAACCAAGGAACCTCCTGAAATCCTTAGCAGAGGAGGGTACGGGAAATGGAGTGACTGGGCGAATTTGGGCCGGGTCGAGCTGTACCCCAGATACGTTAACGAGGTGACCAAGTACAGGCGTTCGCGACGGCCGAAATAACATTTGGAGAAGTTCAGCGTGGGACCAGCGTTACGGAACACTATGAGAGTACTGGACAGTCACTCAAGATGACTTGCAAACGTCTGTGAAAAAGCAATTATATAATCTAAGTAGCACAAGCAAGTAGACCATTTGAAGCTGTGCAGAAGGGAATCCATTATGCGCTCAAAGCTGGCCGGCGCATTGCAAAACCAAACGACATTACTTTAAATGTATATAACCCATCGGGGGTTACAAATGCTGTTTTTTTATGTCCCGTGGGTCAACAGAGATCTGCCAATAACCAGATCGAAGGGCAATGGGCGAGAAAAGTGAGTGAGTGAGAACCTTATTTTGGTCCAAAGGCAGCAGAGACTTTGCGCCATGAAGGCAGTCAAGGGCGCCATCTATTCTTGGTAAGGGGTAATTAATTGATTGATATGTGGGGTTCAACGTCCCAAAACCACTCTATGATTATGAGAGACGCTCTTGGTAAGGGGTAAACGTCCTTCTTAGTGACCTTGTTGAGATGTCTATAGTCGACGCAAAACCGTCATGTGTTTTCCTTCTTCTTGACAAGCACAACTGCGGATGCCCACGGACTCTAAGAGATTTCGACGACGCCTTTGGCCAGCATTTCTTCGACCTCTTTCTGGATGACATAGCGTTCGGAAGCGGAGACACGGTAAGGGCGGTGATGTATTGGGTTGGCATCGCGGGTGTTGATGTGATAGGTCACAACTGATGTCTGGCCTAAAGGGCGGTTGTCAAGATCGAATATGTCCACATAGAATGTCAAGAGACGGTGGAGCTCTTGTGCTTCGGAGGGCGAAAGATCTGGCGCTATCATTTTGGCAATGTCAATGGTTGAAAGGTTGGGCGCAGTGAGCAAGTTGACGTGCGGAATAGGTTGCTCAGCTGACAGTTCAGAGATATCACACTCTTGCAACGACGACACGACGCCTAGTTTAATACCAGCAAGCAGTACGTGCGCGGAGAAACCAAAGTTCAAAAGAGACAAATAGGTCTGGTTGTGGCGTACTCTCACGGCTGTGCGCGGAACAGCAATGGAATGCTTTAGCACAACGTCGATAATGGCCCCGCCGCGGTGGTCTAGTGGCTAAGGTTGCTGACCTGCAGGTCGCGGGCTCGAATCTCGGCTGCGGCGGCTGCATTTCCGATGGAGGCGGAAATGTTGTAGGCCCATGTGCTCAGATTTGGGGGCACGTTAAAGAACCCCAGGTGGTCGAAATTTCCGGAACCCTCCACTACGGCGTCTCTCATAATCATATGGTGGTTTTGGGACGTTAAACCCTACATATCAATCAATAAACAACGTCGGTAATGAGTGAGACGACACATTCACCATCGCGCACAGGCGGATCACACATGAGCTGCACGTAAGTCACGGCTTGCGGCTGAAGATGCAGGAACTCGGTGGCACAAAGGCGACTTCGAGCATCACGGGCAACAGCGGCGTCAAAAGGCAGTTCCAGCTGAAGAAGGCCCGTCGAGCAGTCGATAAGGGCGGAGTGCGCAGAGAGAAAGTCGAGACCGAGAATCACATCATGTGGGCACTGCTCAAGCACGGTGAACAATACGACGGTCTGACGGTCATCAATACACAAGTGAGAGGTGCACA